CAGCGCCATCAGCGTGGTGGAGCTGGTGTTCTTCCTGTACTCCGCGCTCAGGGGACGCAACCGAGTCCGCTACTTGAATTAACCAATCATCGATTGGTGTCATTGACGTATAAAAAAAAGTCTCAAAATCGCTAAACAAAAGAGCATCAAAAACCGTCCGAGCAGCATTCTATGCCAACTTATACATGTTTTATAGGCATCTCAGTAGAACCACTTTCAACAATACACTCTTTGTTCAAACACAAATACACGTGCACACACACTTAGGTACACATAGCATGCATAAGTACAGACAAACATATCGACTTAAAGAAATATTGTAAAAAATGATTTTATTAGTTTTTCTGCTACTTTGCGAGATCCTTAGGGTACCTCAAGCCGAGAATTGGCGAGTGCCTCTAGAGGTATTCCAGGTGGATGGCATCTCCCCACGAGGGGTGTCTCCTATCCGTCTGGAGCTTCTAGACCACTCGAACCTGAGGGTGTCGACTCAACTAGAGGGCGTCTCTGAGACTCGGACCTCGGCTCTAGTTAGCCGTTGTCGTGGGGGCCGGGATAAAACGCCCAGGTATATTTTCTTTAGAATTAAACATCAAGCAGTTACATGCTTTAAAAATAATAAAAATTATAACTATTATTGCTATTTCTTCTTTCAAGTGTTTAATACTTGTAAGGCGCTTTGCAGACGACGGGGCGGGGCGAGCCGGCCAATTTCGCCGCGAATAATAGCACAAAGTGAATCCTATACTTCAAACGCACACAGCGGTCAAAAAGACCGCGCCTTGGGTGCCCGGCGGGCAGTGGCGGCGCGGCATGTCCGCGGCGGCCCGCCGTGGATCATACAAACCAGTTTATATGCAGTAACGCAGGCGGCGGCGCGGGGCGGTCATGGACTATTCACTAGAACGAACGTCCTGAACTGACCGCCTCTGCCCGTCGTGTGCTTTGTGTACGCGGCGCGGGCAGCCGCAGACATCGACGGGCAGACGTGGTCTTTATTGCTTCGCGGACAAAATGCCCGCCCCGCCCCGTCGTCTGCTAAACGCCTAAAAGTATTCATTTGACATTGTGGGTTAGCTATAATGCGAAGAGATGGCTCTGCCTTGCAGCTTAAGAATGGCTAGAAGAATTTCGATGCGGTCCGTGAGGGCTGCGGTAGCATAATTGGTCAGTGCATTCGCCCGGATTGCGAAGTGTGCGGGTTCGAGTCCCGTCTGCTGCCTGGTCCGCGTGGATTTTTTTCTAGTTATATTTTCTTTAGATTTAAACATCAAGCAGTTACATGCTTTAAAAATAATAAAAATTATAAATAAATATTATTCAAAATCTGATATATTTTCTCACTTAATCTTGGTAAATAAGTTTGAAAGAAAGTTGTTTTATTGTTGACAGCACATAACATACACATACAATGCAAAAATACATATAACAATTCATTCGTTTCATTAAAGAAAAACTGTTTTTTTCTCACACACTGGTTTGAATTGGCGTCTATGACGTCACAATATGGCGCCCAGTCTGTCAATTAAATTATGCTTGTTTACCAACGATATCGTTGTTGTTTACCTAAGATTAAGTTGTTTACATGTTTCGTTATCATAAAGAAAATATATTATCCAGTCCTATTTTTCATTTCATTGTAATTTTTGTTTTAATTTTATTGTAGCATTTGCTTGATAGAAGAATACTTTGGAAAATTCCTTACCAATGGGATACGTAGCAGGAAAAAAACAAATAAAAGTCGCAAATCGAGGTGTACGTAACAAATTTATATTTTCTGATTTACACAATATTGCTCCAATATATCTGTCGTAACTCCTCCAACAATTTTATCAAATATATTGCTTCGCCATATTAACTCTCATGGAAAAATACAAAAATTATTCTCTATGATTGCGTTACGAAAAAACGTTCTAGAAAAAATTACATCTCTCTCATTAAGCCTACGTGTTCATATTATGCGTTGAATCTTTCGATTTCGTCATACTTCAATTAGTGTTTCGTCTTTATATAAATAGTGATGTTCGTGCGACGCACCGGTGCCGGGGCGCCGCACCAACGTACGGAACCACGATACAATACGTCTACCGTGTATCTACTAAATAAATACTCATCGATCTCGCCGCGACAATCATTAATACTTCCGAGTAAAAGGGACAGCTACATATTAAAAAACTATCATAATAACGACATAAAAATCAATATTTGGCTTAGATTTTAATTTAATCTACAATAAAGCACGTAAAGTAATAATTTGGTCTAAGTTAAAAAAAAAATATTACAAATAACTCGTTAAGTGCCACTTAACCTAATTATTGCCTTACAACTATAATAATAATAATAATTTTATTCCAGTGGTCTCTATCAGTGTTAAGACGGCACACGGAAGTGTTCTACAGCACCCCAAGCACGAACCCATCTCGAATTCGAAATGTCTGCGAGTTCGAAATGTCATTGTCTAATGTGTACGATTTTTAGTTCTCGTTACGCCTGTTTTGGCGTTGCTTTTCAAGTTTCCATACAAAATTTCGCACTCGCAAACTATTCGAAATTCGATATTGGTTCCTGTACCCTTAGTAAGAGTTTGAGCTCACGAAAACTATCATAGTTTTCGTAATTGTAAATTATGTTTCTATGTCCATTTTTGTGAAAAGTAACCAATTATAATTAAAATTTAATAAGAAACAGATGATTTAATGATAAAATTTAAACGCTGTTTATTTGTATTGAAACGAAAACAATAAAATCAGTACTCTTAATACGGTGCGAGCTCACGCAAACTATCATAGTTTTCGTAATTGTAAAACCCGTACTAAGGGTACTGCTTGGGGTACAGAGTTGAATAGTTTGTTTCAAGAGTACTGGACGTATCACAAGTCGCTTACACGCTACACTAACGGTATCTATACCAATGGAACGGCTGAACGTTACATCGACCTTGAGCTATAACTTACATCATCAATATATTAATCGTATTAAGTAATATTGCTGTTAGCCAACGCTCGACGGACGGACGGACGGACCGCCGTCGCCGCCGCGTCGACTGACGTACGCGATGGCACATACATCCCACCAAATTAAATTACAAAATAAAACTCTGTTTCATTTCATTTTAATTTTACATCACAATATTATTATTACTGCAGCGTTACACAATAATTCTATATAAAAATATTCCTTTATATTCAATAAAGTATGACATCTCGCGAATTGACTCCGTCCGCCGCCGGCGACGGCGGCGCGTATACACAATACTATTAAAATTACATATAAATATACATATATATATATATATATATATAGATATATAAATACAAAAGCGCGTGAGCAACGAGTCGCCTACTTGACATAAATACTTCATAATAAATAAATGTGCGGCCGGTCGCGGCTCCGACGTGTCGCACGACGGGAGATCTGATTATTTCTTTAATAAACGTCTAAATAAAATGATCTAAGTACAGTCGGACCCGGACGGGCGCGAACTAGGTTCCGGTTCCGGGCGCGTCTCACGCGCCGGACCGAGGCACTGTGCGGTTAACGACCTGTCTACCCCTACCCTACCCTACCCCACCCCTCCCCCTAATTTAGTCCCTAGCACTCGCACGAGCGAACGGGAATTATTCAAAGTCAATAAACAACATTTAATCATTGTTTTAGTCAAAGGAAAGTAATAATTTGAGTACCTATATAAATAAAATAAATTTTCGTTCGCTCATGCTTTACATAGTGTCTAAAATGACAAGGGAAACATAATTTTCACCTTCTTTACGAAATACTATATGTAGCCATGATACATTGTTCAATAGGGTTTTAGTAACATCATTTCATAACCAATGAGCTCTTACGTTACTAAGTACACATCGTACAATATTTGAGCGGTACAGGTTAATTTTGTTAGTTTCTAAGTAAAACCCGTTATCTGCACATTTTTTGAGACTTTGTATATTAGCTATATATTTTTCATTTTATTTGATAATAATTCTATTTATTAGTTTTTAAAGTGAGTAGATTACATGGAAAGAGGACATTATTTTCAAATTGGAAATGGATAGTATTTTTTCATGATATACACTTGTACAGCATTTTCTGTAGATAGCTGATTTTATGTGGGAAAGGAGGTAGTTAATTTGTATCTTTACAGTAATTTTTGAGTAAATGACTAATTATACGGAAGAAAAGCGTGGTATTCTGTATCTACTGATATCTTGAACATAATAGTAGTACAAGTGTCCATGTTAAGATGGAAAAAGGAGGGTATTTTTAAACACAAACATTTATTAAGAGATAAGAAGGAAGGGTATTTTATATCTTTTTCATTATATTTCTACATCTCTTTCACTTTTTCATTAAATTGAATTTTAGAGTTTATTTTGTGTGAATAACTATTCTGCCGTCCTCAAACTAAAACGCGGCTAAATGACAAAAACAACTTGTGGGATATGGCCAAAAAACTGCACGTAAATTTTAAATTATTGTTATTTTGTAACCATTCATCGCAAGACGGATTTTTAGACTTAAACTATAAAAGATACGAATACTTGTTATAGACAGATGGATAAAGAATTAAAAACTGTATATGATGCAATTTAAGACTGAAAAATCGACCACGTGTCACTTGTCTAATAAGACATGGCATTTTTTATCTATTTCGCACTATTACGTTCAAATATCTGTGTTAAGACGAAGGACGGAGGGCATTTCGCATCTACTTCACTTCCTAATCACTATAATAACACGTGCATATAAACTGAGGGTATTCGGTATCTTTTCAACGATACAACTATGCAAATTCACTCATATTTTTTAAAAAATCCAGGGTTCATCACTGTTAAGACGAAGGGAGGGGTATTATTGTATAACTTTTCACTATATAACTTTGCAACTTCAGCACTCATATTTCAAGATTTTTTCCAGAGTTCATTACTGTTAAGTTAGAGGAGGGGTATTATTATATAACTTTTCACTATATAACTGAAACTTCAGTTTGTGTTCAAGTAACTTTTTAGAGTTGTTTTGGTTCACAAGCTGACCAGCGTATCGTTGGCGTTGGGCTGCGTTTGCCGGGCGTGGGCGTGGGCTTGTGCGTGGGCGTGGGCGTGGGCCAGCGCGAGGGGCACGGGGTGCGGGTGGGGGTGCACGGGGGTGAGGCCGGTGCCCCCCTCCATGAGGCTGTCGAAGTTGAAGGGGATGCCGTTGCTGGGGGTGCTGATCTCCACGCCCGCGTCTGAAGTGTCGTTGACGGTGGACAATTTCAGTTTGTGCGTCTGTGGACAAAAAAAACTTTATATAAATAATACATATCTAATATATAAAATTCTCGCGTGTGCGGTGTTTGTGGTTAAACTCCTCCGAAACGGCTTTCCCGATTCTCATGAAATTTTGTGTGCATATTGGGTAGATCTGAGAATCGGACGATATTTATTTTTCATCCCCCTAAATGTTAAGGGTAATCGACCCCTATTTTTTTCTTAATTTTAGATAATTTTATTTTTTTATGATACATCATACAACCAACCCCTATTTTTTTATGGCGGTACTAAGTTCGCTGGGACCGCTAGTATATATATATATATATATTATTGAATTGGAATCGTTTGAGTTTGACATGGTTTATTATTGAATATTAAGATTTTTGACTTGATATTTAAATAACTTGATGAATTTGTGTGCCCATATCGGCAAGACATGTTATGCACCACTAAAATCATAACACCTTACTTACACATGTTGTCTCAAATAAAAATTTTCTTTCTTTCTTTCTATATAATATATATGAGGAAACTCAATGGTTAGCGCGTTCGGCTGCGATCGTTGAAGTCAAGCAACTTTCGCAGTGGTCGGCCATTGGATGGGTGTCCAAAAATTTATAACGTCGCATTCCTCTGTGCTTCGGAAAGCACGTTAAGCCGTTGGTCCCGTCTGCATCTGCAGTTGCTAGCACCCGCCAATCCACAATGAGCCCGCGTGGTGAGTCATGGCCAATCTCCTATTCCATCCATAGGGAAGGCCTGTGCCCCAGCAGTGGGGACATTAATAGGCTGATTATGATGATATCATGTTCGGGGATTATGAATTAAACCGCCCGGATTGAATGCCATAATTGCACAGATTTTATTTGTAGAATTAATTACATGCTTAACGCGGTGAACCTGACGTAAGCATACGTCAATACATTTTCGTTGTAGAGAATCTCTGTATCTACTGAATCAATGATTTTGAAAAAAAACACGACGTTTATAAGTATCATAAGCTATATATATGACCTTAAATGACATAAAATTTATGATGTTTACAAAGACGGCGGCATTAGTTCCAATTTTCGCCACATTTATAAAGATCCTTGTCGCATTCTATCACGAGGGGCGTCAACAACTACGTCGTGTGGAAAAACAGTCTCATATTTTTTTTTTTAATTTTTTTTTTCCAACACTCACACCAATTAGCCTAGCCCCAAAGTAAGCACTGTAAGGCTTGTGTCATGGGATGCTAGGGGTAACGGATAGAATACATATACTGTACATATTTAAGTATATTTATATAGAAATAGAAATACATATTAAACATCCATGACTGGAGTACAAATACTCGTATTCATCACACAAACATCAGCCCCCACCGGGATTCGAACCCGGGACCTCTCGAGTCGGCGACACCATGAAACCCGGCGTACAAACCACTCGGCCACGGAGGTCGTCAATTATGTTATTAAGATGAGGAGCTTAGTGGCGGTTAGCGCTTTCGGCTGCGATCGTTGAAGTTAAGCAACTTTCGCAGTGGTCGGTCATTGGATGGGTGACCAAAAATTTACTATCTCGAGCTCCTCCGTGCTTCGGAAGGTACGTTAAGCCGTCGTTCCCGGCTGCATCTGTAGTCGTTAGCACCCACCAATCCGTATTGGGCCCGCGTGGACAGTCCAGTCTGTTCCATCCATAGGTTCTCGTGTGCCCCAGCAGTGGGGACATTAATAGGCTTCTGATGATGATGCCAGCAGTATATAACTACAATATATGACGACTTCCGTAGCCGAGTGGTTTGTACGCCGAGTTTTTCAGGTGTCGCCTACTCGAAAGGTCCCGGATTCTAATCCCGCCGGGGGCAGATGTTTCTATGATGAATACGAGTATTTTTACTCCAGTCATGGTTGTTTAATATGCATTTCTACATAAATATACTTAAATATATATGTATATCAGTATATGTATTCCGTTCGGCTGCGATCGTTGAACTTAAGCAACTTTCGCAGTGGTCGGTCATTGGATGGGTGACCAGAAATTTACTATATCGAGCATCTCCGTGCTTGGGCACGTTAATTCGTTGGTCCCGGCTACATTCGATGGCACCCATCAATACGCACTGGGCGCGCGTGGTGGGTCATGGCCCAATCTCCCTATTCCATCCATAGGGAAGGCCTGTGCCCCAGCACTGGGGACATTAATAGGCTGATGATGATGACATGTATTCTATCCGTTACCCTAGTATCCCATATCACAAGCCTACAGCGCTACTTTGGGGCTAGGCTAATGAGGATTTTCTGGATTGCCTAACGCTAGGTGGCAGCACCGATACCATAGGTCCACTCATCCATCAAATCACCTACATTGTCATAGTTAATGAGATCAATTTAAACGCTCGTTCGGTTAATTCGCGCCAAAAACTTTATACAAAAGACTTCACGTCACAGTGACGCCACCTGGTGACGTAAATTTTCCTAAACACCCTTATTGACGACCTCCGCGGCCGAGTGGTTTGTACGCCGGGTTTCGTGGTGTCGCCGACTCGAGAGGTCCCGGGTTCGAATCCCGGTGGGGGCAGATGTTTGTGTGATGAATACGTGCATGGGTACTGCAGTCATAATTGTTTAAATGTATTTCTCAACGATATTAAATACCCTAGATACACCAACACGAACAAAATCGCGGCCGAAACCTGTCCAAGAGGTACATTGGACGATTCACGGAGCTCCGTAAAACGATCGCGTAGTCTAAAACAAAATTAGGCATTATTTAAACATTAAAAGTGACCTTTAACACGTACTGTCTTTGTTAAAACGCATGCGTCAAAGACTTGTGACAGTTCGAAATGGAAACTCGCAAAATTTTCGACTTATTGCTATATGCGGAAGAATATAGACCTTATTTCTTTTACTTCTACGCGCAATTCTGAATGCGCTGTTAGCAATACAGCGGGTACGGGCCGCGAGGAAAAGAGACGGCTATACGGCGATGTATAACCGAACATGCATTTGAATATCACAAATATTTTCTATTAAATCAGTTTATAGTAAATATTAGAACAATATTTGCTTCAAATGCGTTAAATTAACAAACACTGATTAGATACCTGTCGAAAAATGCCGCTTTACGTACTATAAGTATTTATTTCGCATTTTTTCACGGAGCTCTGCGGCATCTTAACTTTTCAACGGTCTGCGCGTGACTGTTAACCAAGAAGTGCTTGCGTTCAAGCACTTCTTGATTGGGACACATTCTGAGCGCTCGTGGTATATCTAGGGTATTTAATATTACTAGTGCTTACTTTGAGGCTAGGCTAATTGGTGTGAGTGTTTAAATATTTATTTATTTATTGGTGTGTGTTTGAAATAAATAAAATTTTTGATCATACCTGTGCGGGGTTGGTATGTAACGGCACTTGCAGGAAAGTGGGGCGGGCGGGTCGAATAGGGGGCGTGTCCAGGGCGGGGCCTTCCGCCCCTCCTACTATGGGGTGAGCCGCCGATACCATCATCCTGGAGAACAGATACCTACAGATTAGTCATTGAAACACGACATAGGAACATACGTTGGCGTGGAGAAATGAAGGAACAAATAACACACCCTGGAAAAAAAAGTTAATTTGATCATCTTATATATAAAACTAGCGGTCCGCCCTCGCTTCGCTTCGGTGTAGAGCTGAAGAGTAGACTACAGTTTTTGTTCTCATTCTTGTATTATACACAATGACATTTATATATGATTCTTCTTATACCCGCATGCAAAGTCTCAGCCCGATTGGTTTAAAATTGACAAAGTTTCATACAAACTTTCATTCCCTATTTTATCCCCTTGGGGGTAGAATTGATCAAAATCCTTTCTTAGCGAATGCCTACGTCATAACATTTACCTGTATGCCAAATTTCAGCCCGATCCGTCCAGTGGTTTGGGCTGTGCGTTGATAGATCACTATGTCAGTCAGTCACCTTTGAGTTTTACATATATAGATTCTCGTGTCACAATGTTAGTTACCACACTCCTCCGAAACGGCCTGACCGATTTTTATGAAATTTTATATGCATATTTCGTGGTTCTGAGAATCGGCTACTATCTATTCTATTCATATCTTTAAGTGGTAATGGTTGTCCACCTGTAACGTAGTGTTCTGAAACCTACAATGCGCCTTCGCGCCAAAATTCAACCTATTGGGTATTGTAACGTAGTGTTCTCATATGGGTTAGGAGAAATGTTATCCCAGGAAATTGATAAAACACTACGTTACACACCCCTAAAATTTTTTTGGACATTTTTTTTTTATAATGTTCTATTAAAAAATACATACAACCCTAAATTTTCTCTTCTACCACCTGCCCCGATTTTTATAGCGGTACGAAGTTCACTGGGGCAGCTAGTTTCAAATAAAATAATATGATACCTACATAATACTTATTGATGAGAGCAATTTTTATATGCAACTGTAGTTCAAATGATTTTTCCTAAAATTGAGATATCACTGCTTAGAGTTCGTCGTTTTCGCTTTAAACATCAGGTCGTGCGTTATTTCCGATACACATTGTAAAAATGATATGAAAAAATATAAAGACTACAGGATATTGCATTAAGATAAAAGTTTTGTTTAATTATTGAACTCAAATTAGAAAAAAACTATTTTTATAAAATTGTTATATGTTAGTATCTATTTCTGCTTTTTCAAATATCTTAATATATATAAATCTCGTGTCACAATGTTTGTCCTCAATGGACTCCTAGACCACTGAACCGATTATAATAAAATTCGCACACCATGTGCAGTTCGATCCAACTTGAGAGATAGGATAGTTTAAATCTCAAATTATAGTCGCAATTTTAATTTATTGCAAATTATTACTTTTGGGCGTTACGAAGTTCGCCGAGTCAGCTAGTACAATATAAATCTATTTATCATAATATTAGCAAACGTTCAACTCACTTCTTCTCCGAAAGGGGCGTGGTGAAAATATCGCTGTCCAGCGTTAAATGGTCCACAACCACCGGTTCCACCGCCTCCACTTTAACTCGGACAGCTTCATCAGGCAGCTGTTCGTACGCATACGAGAACGGCTTCACGTCGGGAGGACTCGGCGCGGGAACGGGAGCTTCCAACGTGCGAGCGAGACGGCACGCTGATAAATGGTGATGGAGGACAGACTGTAGATGATCCCTGTCCGCCCTCAATCGGTCCAGTTCGTCGCGTAGAGCTCTCTTCTTGTCTTCGAGTTTGTCGGTCTCCTCCTGCAACTCGTTGGTGTGGTCCAGACGACGTTTGCGACAACGCGCCGCCGCCATCTTGTTGCGCTCGCGCCGGATCTTGCGGCGCTCCTCTTCCTCGGGCGATAGGTCTTGCGGTGCCTGGGAAATGGAAACATATAATATTACTAGCTGACCCAGCGAACTTCGTACCGCCCTAAAAAAAATAGGGGTTGTTAAGCGGACAAAATTGTGAATCTAAACCATTCTCAGATCCCCTTGAACACACACAAAAAATTTCATCAAAATCGGTCCAGTCGTTTAAGAGAAGTTCAGTGACATACACACTCACAGAAGAATTATATATATAAAGATGTACATGATAAAGCATTGGTTATGTTTATATTTATTTTTAAGCGTTTAACTGCTAGATGTTTTAATCTAAAGAAAAGTTTACTAGAGAAAAATCCACGCCGACCAGGCCAGAGGGACTCGAACCCGCACCCTACGCAATCCGGGCGAATGCACTGACCATTATGCTATTCGCCGCGTCGAAATTTTCCTGGCCTTAAGCTGCAAGGCAGCGCCATCTCTTCGCATTGTAGGTAATAAAGCATTTCCGCAATATTACAATTTAATTTTATATTTGAGAGGAGAAGTTTCAGCTAGAAACGGAAAATATTGTTATAACTAAACTGGTTTTGGATGTAACTAGATAGATCTATATAGGTAATATTTTAGTTAGCTAACGTTACAAGTTAAAGGCGAATACAGGGGTTAATATAAAACCATAGCTCGTAAACTTTATTATCACAACACAGTTCATGCAAATCCTTCGGAAATAAATATTTATGGCTTATGCCGCTACTTGACAACAGTCTGTCCTTATCATGCTTTCTAAGGAGTGAAAAGGACGGTTGGGTAGCGAATAACCCCCATTGAACCTGTATTAACCCGTTTATACCCACTAAAGGTAGCGCAACTGGTGGCCCTTTTGAGGAGCAAAATTGGCATTTTTTTAAGGTCATGATGCTTCAAGTCAAGATTTTGAAATGTTTTGGAGTTTACTCCTTATGAATCGATTTGCATATATAAGGGGCCTGGTATGAGAAAAATGTGAGGAGTAAAATCTATCGATGAATGACATTAATAACCTCGTTACGTTTTTGTGCGCAACCTCATCTGCGCACCTTTCACTTTTAGCCATGGCAACGGATAAAAAACATTAAGTTGTCACAAATGTCAATAAAATAAATAAACTAAAAATAGACAAAATGGGAGCAAAATTAATGAAAACAAATAAATAACAGAATATAGAGAAACGCCGGTAAAGTGTGGCACTCTGGAATAGTGATTTTCAGTACAGATGGAATTATAATACATATTTACAAAATGATGACTAGTGTGTGATATTTTTGAAATTGTGTGTTTCCAGAAATACATAATAAAATATATGATGAATATCGCTGATGTTATATGATAAAATGTGTGACATGGAACCTAAGATAGTCGAAACCAAGGGACGATTCCTGAAGTATCTCTACTTGTCACCGACTCTTCGGACTTGATTTTGTTTTGTGTCTCTTCAAAGACAATCGTTTTTAGAGTGTAAACTCCGGTCGTGCGTCGGAGCTGACACACACAATTTTTTCTTTTAGTTTTTTTATTGGGCTTTGGAATGACACCAATGTTGGTGGGGGTTAATTCGTGTGTTAAGGGTTATAATAATGCTTGAAAGTTATTTTCGCGGAGGTGCGATATTTTTGACGCTTGTAAAATTGATTGTTGTAAAATTTAAAACTAGCAAAAATAAATAAACATCTGACAAGCTAAAATTACAAATAAAGCAATCAAAAGAAAGGCGAGATTAACAGATAGACACGTTAAAATATTTTGATGACTTCGGTAATTCCAATCTTTTACGTCGGTGTTGCGGGTAGGAAATATTTACGTTCAGGGAAAAACCAGATTTCTATGACTTAGTTATTTATTAATTTTCGGAGCACAACGTATTCGCTGGACGCGCGGTGCAGTAAGAGGGCGCATGCCCGAGATCCATAAACAATTTTTTATGTTATTAACTAATCTTTTTGGTGGCGATGCCAACAGTCGGTCTTCGAGGTTCTAATCCCGGCGAGGTAAATGTTTGTGATGAATACGAGCAATTGTACCGAAGTCATGGATGTTAATATGTTTCTAAATAAAAATGTAATAAATATATAATAATTATATATGTATTCTACCGTTACCCAAGCATCCCATAAGACGAGCCATACAGTGCTTACTTTGGGGCTAGGCTAATCGGTGTGTGTGTGTGTGTTGGTAATATGATGATTATTAAAATAATTACCTTGGTAGGTCTCCGGCCGCCCATGTTGCGCCGCTTGGGCGCGGGCAGGCCGGGGCTGCTGCTGCTGTCGCCGCTGGCGGAGGGCGGGCCCGGCGACACGTGCAGCGCCGTCGGCGGGCCCGCCTCCAGGTACCCCACCTGGTTCAGGATGCCTGCGCACACACAAACGATACATTGTCACTTGTGCACGCCAAAAAGATAAGCTTTGTAAGTAAGATAAGTTATGTAGTGGAGACATAGGTTTCGAGACCTCACAGTGAGGGTAACTGATAAATATATCTATGCCACAGCAACTATCTTCGTAATAAGATGCAGAACTCGGTTCATACATACATACATAGTTCTATTCATATATTTTTAGTTGGGATGACATTATTTGTTCAGAAAGCTTTAAACAATTCATAATACGGAAGTTTAAGCAACAGATACAGATTTAAATGACGATGCAGACCTTGCCGTTCTGCGATATACTTAATCAAAACCTCCAACTCCCCGTGTTAAAGATAAATTTCGGACCAGAATGAGCATTTAAATTCAAACGCGTCCATTCTTTCGCATGCTCTTCAGCTATATAGTACATGGCGTTCATAGAAAAAGCAATTTAACGCCCAGTTATTAGCATATATCTTTAATTATCGTTGGAGAGTAAAGTAAACTTCACCCTCGGCCGTAATTTCAATAGGGCCGACCTACGCAATGCCGCCTATAAATGGATGGAGCACTCGAGATATTATAAACCGCGTAAAATGTAGGCGCTTTCCAAGCAACGCAATACACAATCTCTCCTGCCTGAGCCAGCTAAACAATATTTTATAAATTTCTCTTTTCATGAAAAATGGTATTTTCTATTTCAACCCAAATAAACACTTAAAAAAATATTTCTTTTAATAAACAACGTTTATTTAATGGATAAACATTATTCTAAGGCGTTAACGAATAGTTTTTTGTTAGCCGTTCGTGGATATTCATGTAAGTACTAATTTTGCATAATATCTATCTTGTTATCATTTTTTCTAGAACTAACTAATTTATGAATATTTTCAAATCCAAACAATAACAGCAAACAAAAAATACACATGTGTACGAACTACGAACATATACACAATATAAGCTGAACGCTCATATTAATATTTTTATCTGACGAGATAACGCAGGCGATATAGAAATCAATATATACTTCACGAACAATGGAAAATAAAATCATTTTATGCAAAGCGAGATTCCATACACGATTTAGAATCGTGATGTCTTTATACAGGATACAGGAGGTGCTCAGAACAATATAATGAGGAGTAACATCAAAATAGTTAGCAACAACAACATCGCTGGGGCTACATTTTGGAGCTAAAATTTTCCTTATCACTGGCCAGTAAATCCAAGCTTAGACATTCCGTTAAACAAATAGGTCAAACTCGAATGAAATATTTCTCAGTCGTGATATTTGAAAATGGATCTAAATGTTTGCCTGTGCGAACGTTTTTCCTTGTTTAATTTAATCCAAAGTTGGGAAGGTAAGAGAGACAAATTGCGAGTTTAGTGCGACAGATATCTGTTATACTAGCACTACCAATTTTCCTGATCTGTCTTTCCGGGTATTCCCAATAACCCGTGTCCTTTAAAATAGGCCAGAAGAAGCAATTCGCAGTGTGTGTGGCAGGTAGAACTGCTGTACCAACTATCTTCGCGTCTGGACTGCACCTTCACTTAACATCAGTTGGAGTCAAGTCTTTTCAATCGTCCTTACTTATTCCCTACTACCAGTTACGGCCACTTTTTTAAGCTGCGGAGAAGAACTGGCAATTCACATCTTAAATTTGGCTTTAGTTGGAACTTAACACAAAATTATTTCTAACTAGTTATTTCTAAGTAGTTTATTATAAGAATATAATTATATGTGTATGTTTATTATAATATATATATATATCTATTTATTTATATATGTATATATGATATTTGATTATTATATAATATTTATTTATCGTTTATTGTAGGATAATATTATATGGTTTTATAACTTTAGTAGCTCGCGCTCTATCGCCATAACATTCGTCTCCCACACCCTTACTGGTTGACTGGTAGAGAATGCCTATGGCATTAAGTCCGCCAATTACTGTATTTTGGTAAAGAAGAATAAAATAAATAAATAAAAGATTACTGGTGCCTCAAGAGCAACACTGAAACCCGAGAGATGGTTGTAAAACTCACCGTAGTTGTTGGCGTGCGTGACGGAAGGGGGTACGAAGCCAGCGTGCGTGGGCTCCCCGCGGCAGGCGCCTAGCTCAATGTAGGTCTGCTCGAAGTTACGCAGCTGCGTCGGCGTGATGGTGGCCGTCGTGCGGGTCGGGACCCCCGACTGGAGGCCCTCGAGGTTCGCCAACTGGAGAACAAGACACAACACACAGTTAGATAACGTGCTCACTACATTTATACATATAACTACCGGCCCGCCCTCGCTTTGCTTCGGTGTAGAGCTGAAGTGTAGACTAAATTTTTTGTTCTCAGGCTTGTATTAAACATAAAGACATTCATCTATGATTCTTCTTATACCTGCATGCAAAGTCCCAGCCCGATCGGTTTAAAATTGACAAAGTTTCATACAAACTGTCATTCCCTATTTCATCCCCTTGGGGGTAGATTTGATCAAAATCCTTTCTTAGCGGATACTCATAACATCTACCTGTATGCCAAATTTCAGCCCGATCCGTCCAGTGGTTTGGGCTGTGCGTTAATAGATCACTATGTCAGTCAGAACAAAAAACTGCTTGCAGGTATATAGCAAACTTTTGTAGTGCACCTCGACTCCCCTAACACCATCCCTTACTTAACATAAATGATACAAAGAATAGGATTACAGGAGTAGGTATTTATTCAAAGACATTAAAGCATTTATGGCTGGATCTAACTCACTAAATGGACGAAATCATTGTTATCATAACAAAAATTAACTCGATTGAGTATAAAAAATTGTCAACGGAACAAATTTTTCTTAGTCATAGAATTATTTGTGAGCTCATAGACTGCCGTATAATTACATCAGCAGTGCAAAATACAGATTGTCGCATCTAACACCACTCTAGAAACCTTGCCGTGTTTATAAAATTTAAAAGTTTTTTTGATAATAAATATTATAGCAAAATTAACATGTGTATTGAGTGCAGTAGGAAGGGACATTGTATCCTATGAGATGATAGAGCTCAGTGCTCATATACATCTTAAAGAGTTGTTGTCTAATCGAACTATCAACGCAGGTATAAGTGATGCTACAAAACAGTCAGGTTCTAATTTCGTTAAAGATTTCCATGTTGTTTGAAAAGTTAGTATACTTAATTGATCTTCTAGCAAATGGAAGATAAAATAAAAAAAAAGGCAAACGCTAAACAATATTACCAATTGTTATATTTTAAATGTTTGTTTTCGTCCGCAGCGATCGCTTCCACATACCGATCAATATTTATTGTCACAATATTTGCATAACGTAAGTTGACAATGATAACAAGTTCATAATAACGGTATGTGCACTAGAAAATTTGAAACCACGAGCGTAAAGTTTTTAAGTAATGAAAATTCTCCAAACTAAATCGAATCATACTAGCGTTGTGCATATCTAAGCACCTGATAAGTAAACAGGATCAAGAAATACCATAACGGAAGTAAATAACTTCGGTAATCCAACAAACAGTTAAGCAGTTGAAAGCGAACCCATAAATCACTCAAAGGCGATCTCAATAATAAACAACGTTACATTCGTTACTCACAGTGCCTAATTACTTTGGAAATGGGAATTTCTATAGGAAAATAGTGATACAATCTAATCATAGACCAATCATAGCACAGAAAATGTAAATACATAGCATATCTCTTATGATGATAATTAAACATAAAGACACAATTCATGCGCATTTGAAAATCAGCACATACTGTAATGAAACTAATCCTAAATAAACAATGAAGGTCTACAGGCACAGGTTGAGGCGTAGGAATAAATGCACTCAGAAAAGTGGAGTTTGGAACTTTATTAGGTTTGGCGGGATCATACATTCTCGGGGGAGAGGTTAGTCTAGGAGAGATGGCAGCGATCCAGTACCTGATGGCACCACAGCTCCGTGGCCAGGATGTTGGCGATCTCCAGCGGATCGATGTTCTGCATCTCGTTGGTGCTGACTCCACCACGTTTATAATTAGACGCTTACTCTATTGTGTTGCGCTTTTTGCGATGCGACACCTTCGTGCGATTCGATTTTGTTAGTCGATAATGTTCGTTAAAACCGCCCTCGGTGCCAGCGTTTGGGTTCGATCCGTCGGTAACAAGCGTGCTGCTTTACGGGGGGTTGCCGGAGCGGATCGCGTGTTCATTGGCGTTGTCGCGTGGTGGTGCGCGGGAGTGCGGGTCGTTCGTTCGTTGCGCGCGTACGGCGGCCGGCCGCGGCGGATCGCGCGCTACTGCGCCGCGCTCGCCCGAAATCTTCGCCCACGACCGACTCCGAATCATTTATTAATAGAATATACTCCTCCAACTCCGGAAATATTTCGCGTCATTTCGCATCGCACGCCGCGCTCTCTAGTTATCTGAGGTAATGGGCGACGGCGACGGCGTCTATCTCAAAACAAAGCCTCGCGGCTGAGCTCGCGACGCTGTCTATCGAACCACACTGACAGCTGTCAACGCAGCTTACGTCTCGACACTTTCTAAAAGCCGGGCAGATACTGAATTCGAAACAAAGAACTTCGAGATTAGAAAAGAGCGTTAATTGTCCCCCAATAATCGGCTACTTAACGGTGTCATTATTTCTGTGTGAGCACTTAAGGTGTCGTGGTAATGATCCGGTCGGTGATGTGGGCGGGAGGCACGGTCGATCCTACGGCAAGGTCGCGCGGTCCGTGGGCGATCCCCGTCTCAATACAACCTTATTAGGCATTGTTTAATAAAAATACATAATAATCATATACATAGAATTAATACCAAAACTGGTAATGTAGAAAGTGGGATGAGAACAGTGAACAATTATTATTCGTCAGCATTTCGTCAGCCCGTCGATAGTTTTATCATTGTCATGGCCGGAGATGTCATCCACATTACGTATCGTGGCGCAACAACCAGAGGTTAATAACAGTAGGTGGCTAAGGCTCAGACACTTTGTACCATAACACACGTGAACTCGTAATACATAATAGCACACTGGAAATATTGTTAATCCTGGTTCACAAAAGATAATAACAATTAAAATATTGTCAAAAAAACATGAACCTAAATAATCAATGATAGCGAAAGAATGGAAAAGTTTAAAGAAGGTGTTTAAGAGTAACATTTTCAAATAAATAAAATTCGTATACAAAATCAACGCAATTACGTATTAATTTAGAAAATAGTAAAAACACATTAAATAAAGAACTTATTTCTTTATTTCTTCCTGCTTTTTTTGTTTTTGTTAAGATTTTTTTTTAATTTTCTGTTAATTATTACTTCTCCAGAACCGTTCTTTATAGTGGAACTTAAGGAAATGAATTAATTTTTCATTTAAATTTTGGCCAGCATTTTTTTTGGTTAAAGTCCAATTTTTGTGAGCCTTAACCAGGTGTAATATGATATTATTAAGATGGCATGAGATCAAATCGAATCAATTACGTTTTCGCAGAAGAGCAAACGGTAGGCAGACGAAGGCGAATACGATTGCACGGGGACAAAGGCTCCGGAAGGCCGGCCAATTACTCCAATTGCTCAAATGAAATTGGTCTCGATGCGCGCGCGCCGGCGGCCGCTGCGGCTTCGTTAATTGGTCACGGTGCTTACCTAGCAATTAACCGATGCTTTATGTGTTTATCATACACTGTTTCATCGACGATCATGAATTTTCGGTGGCAAGTCACAAATTTAGGTCAGTCACCGTTGCTGGTATTGTTCAGAACTCCATCACTCCGCCATTGTAAGGCAAAAAAAAATAAAAAAGGAGAGAGATGGGGAGGTTTAGAATTTACCTGGTTCTAAAAATTAATTACTACTAAGCAAAAAAAGAAAGAAAAAGGCTGGAGGTGATGGCCGGTTGGTGGTAGCCGATTTAGCGTCTCAGCTTCCATTTAAAGTGAGAGTTGTAACGGGCGCCGGGAAGCTGGTAACATCTCCAGGTGTCCGGGATAACTTACGGGAGATTAAAAGCACGATGTGTGCTTTTAATCTCAAGGCCAGTTTTGTCTAGGGGTTTGAATGATAAAGGTGTTTTCCTCTTCAATTATTTATTGTGCATTTACATACCAGAGTGGAATCCAGACGTCGAGGTACAATATGTATCTGATTTACTTCACCTTTACGGTTGGTCCATTATGCTGGTTAAAGATTCCATTCCAATGAAGGGAAAATATATCAAAATGAAATTTATAAAGATATCATAAGAATTAAAGATTTGTCATGGAAGTTTTTCTTGTCAGGGGTTATATTACATTAGTATTTTTTCATCGTTTTCGTCTTAAACCTCATGATGGCGTTAAGTTGGTGTGTATTTGATGTAATGTTATGTGTTAAGGTCACGCCTCATTAGAGGTATCGTTCTTGGTGCGGAGGGCAAAGCCGCAGTGTTGTTGTTATCGGCCGCGGCCGCGAGGGACGCCATGAGATCACCACTATTCTAGTTTGTGACGTGAGTACATATGTACTCCACTGAGCGGCTACACTTCATGAGATACATCAGCTTTTTGCTGATATAATAAGAGTAGTTTATTTCTCGAACATCATACCGCCTAAACGTATTTCGTAATTGTCTAGGTAAAAAATAAATTCTTAGGTCCTGTTTCAGAGAGTTATTCTAAATTTTATCACACTAATATTATAAAGGCGAAAGTTTGTGAGTGTGTATGTTTGTTACTTCTTCACGACTAAACGGCTGGAGCGATTTTAATAAAATTAGATATGGAGTTAGCTGACACCCTAGATTAACACATAGGCTACGTTTTACTGCAGGAAAATATCCCTAACAAACCGCGGGTGACACCGCGGGGCACAGCTAGTAGTACATAATAATATGTTGATATTTCTAAAATAAACACAAGGAAAATTACTGCAGTGTTTTCAATTAGAAGTTAAAGAACGTGTAGAGATCCCGTTACGTTCGGTGATTGCATCCCACATGTTTTTGACTTCCTTGTACTTCGTTTAAATGCTTATTATCCATTCAATTGTTAAATCGACATGTCTCGCTGTGGTCTTTGTTTCATCGTTAACATTTCAAAATGACAATACCCTAATTAGGAGATATTGTCGAGAAGAAAACATTTTGAAAAACAACGGTTAGCACATAGTTAAAAATCCATAGTTAAAAGATAGTTTAGCTACCATTAGAAAAGTTTGCTACCATAACATGAGCTTCAAAATTTTCAGTTTAAGACGTTACTTCTTAATAATGTGTATGCAGATTTAGAATTATACTTATTATAAATGGTTCTTTGGTAATAAGAAAACTAGAAATGAATGTCTAGCAAGACTGAAGAATATGAATTGTTGACAACTCCAATTATCATTAAAGTGTACGTATAACATCAAAGTTAACTAACTTTAATTCTTCGAGTTAGCACAAGAAAATATTTGTGTTACTTATCCTTAAAAAATCCTTGCTCTTGTAGCTCTTGTCAAATAGGGTATTTGACAGTTTTAAAAGTAAAGTACCAATTGTTAGCATCTGTGTTTAGAATGAATATTGGCAGGGGATTTTACTATTTTCACAAGAAATATATTAATAATTTTACTAAAAACCCACGAATAATATAATAGTTTTCTTATCTATTGTCACGTGACCCAAAACGCTTGGGATTGGCGGAGCCTAAAATGACGTCACACGGAAGTAAACTTCCGGTTAAAATGACATTACATTGTATCGTTTGACGTTTTAATAACAGTCGTGTGACGTCACGCACTAGTAAGACGCCATATTGTCCAGAGAAACGTTTTCGCGGCAACTTGAAAATGGAGTTTTTGATTTTGGTTATTTTTTACTGAAATACACATCGAATGATGAATACTCCATAAACATTAGTCAATATCGTGAGATCGTTTTCTAAAACTTGTCAAATACCCTATTGTAAAATGGATCGACCATGGAATTCGACCTTTTGTTTCACAAAGCACTTCATAGCTGACAACTGAATCGCATAATGAAAGATATGAGAGATAGTATTATTATGCTCAATATAAATTGCAAATAACAAAACCCGATAGGTATGCAATATTTTGTTTACTATTTCCCGAATCTGCGAATGTGGCAGTTTCCAGCAGATGTTTCTCTTCGTGTCATTATCGGAATATTGTTGCGAGTTGCGACTAGGGTTACCATATCTCAGGATTTGTACTGTGATTTCAGGATTTTTGGACTCTTCTCAGGATTTTTTGAATTTCTAATAAAATATAGCTTACGTTTTAAAGATCTCTTTAATAATAAAAAGTTAAAAAAACTAAAAATAATTGCACAATTAAAATCAGTACTTTATTATCCAAGTTAATCTTAACTTAATCAGTTTTATCATACTTAATATGTGAAGATACATTTTTAAGTAAGGTTTTTTTCTTTAATTATGGATTCATATAATGCCCCACATGTTAAGCTCTTCAAATTATATTGTTTTAAAAGTATAAGCAGAGTATAAACGATAATATTACGACTTTTTTAAATTGTTAAGTAAGATTGAGAGAAAATTCTCAAACTGAAAAAAATCTCAGGATTTTTCAATGGAAATCAAGCCTTTTCTCCGGACTTTTGATTTTATCATCTGGTAACCCTAGTTGCGACCCGCTTTCGGCAAACGGCGAAGTTCGATAATAGTAAACAACCCATCTCTGTTTGTAACAATTTATTATAATAGCTTTATTGATAATTAACCGTTTAACCTTAAAGATTAAATTAAAAACAACGTACCGTCAAAAGCGATAACAATAAGAAAACTAATGAACTTCCTATGGGTTTAAAGAAAATATAACTAGAAAAAATTCCACGCGGACCAGGCAGCAGACGGGACTCGAACCAGCACCCTTCGCAATCCGGGCGAATGCACTGACCAATTATGCTACCGCGGCCCTCACGGACCGCTTCGAAATTCTTCTAGCCATTCTTAAGCTGCAAGGCAGCGCTATCTCTTCGCATTATAGGTAACCCACAATGTCCGCGTGGAATTTTTTCTAGTTATATTTTCTTTAGACTTAAACATCAAACAGTTACATGCTTTAAAATAGGGGTGATGACGGGGTACAGTAAACGAAATTCTATTTAGTCCGTCAGTTAGATGATCAAAAAATAATGGACACGTATTTTTCCTTTGGGCAATCAACCAAAAAATGACAAAGTTATAGCGCGTCAAAGTTTGGGAGTAGGGGCTCGTGACTCGTCACTTTTGAGTGAATTTTTACTTATAAGTGTACTCAAACGTGACGTCATGCGACTTTTCAAATCAATATATCTCTGCAATGTTTATATTATGTGAAAAAAGAAAAAATACGTGTCCAATACTTTTTGATAATCTACCTCATAAACGAAGAAAAAAAATTAGTCATCATCCCTATTATAAAAATTATTCCTATGGGTTGTTTCTTTTCAATAACTTGGTATAATAATAGTTTTTAATACCAACCACCCCACCGATACTTATACGGACGAAGCAGTTATAATAAAATGATTGTCTGTGACTATACTGGCAATTAAGTAGGTGCTGCCGGCAATGTTTGCCAAAACTCCTAGCTAGTGCGCAGGAGCACGCTACGAAACGACCGCGCACGTGGCCCGCGCGTGACGGCACAGGTGAACACGCCCACCCACGCTGCATTATTCGCGATTTGGACTTCAAATTTGCAGAGGTCAACGCCCTTTACCCCCTTTATTTATTTACTTACCAACATTTGAATACATTATTTGAAACCAAAAGTCCTATGTTTTAGTTTTATAATAAACTAGCGGCCCGCCCTCGCTTCGCTTCGCTTCGGTGTAGAGATGAAGGGTAGACTACAGTTTTTGTTCTCAGGCTTGTATTATACACAATGACATTCATCTATGATTTTTCTTATGCCTGCATGCAAAGTCTCAGCCCGATCGGTTTAAAATTGACAAAGTCTCATACAAACTTTCATTCCCTATTTTATCCCCTTGGGGGTAGAATTGATAAAAATCCTTTCTTAGCGAATGCCTACGTCATAACATCTACCTGCATGCCAAATTTCAGCCCTATCCGTCCAGTCGTTTGGGCTGTGCGTTGATAGATCACTATGTCAGTCAGTCGCCTTTGAGTTTTATATATATAGATGCATCGAACAATTATAGGTAAAATACCACATGCTATTAATACAAAGATAAATAATAAAAATAAATTGGTACAGAATAAATATGAATTACATTGCTAGTTACACTGGGGTTTGTTCATATCACCCAAATGTCGTTTCTATGATTTATAATCAAAGATAGGGACAAACCATGGAGCAACTAATCCAATCTTATTCTTCGTTTGTTAATAAGGAGTTCAACCTTTGCGACCTTAAATCTTCACATGAAAGATAATGACGACACGACAGGATGGCATCGAAAGACTAGCATCTTCTAACAAAAATGCCTGAAAATACCTATGTATCTAGTATTCAACAGAAGTTACTAACTCTACATAATTCTGAAATAAAGACGGACACAAAACAAAGGCAATGAAAAAACAAAACCAAAGAAATTGCGACTTAAGGGAAAACCAGACAACAATGGTTAGGTTTATATATCGTAATCTAAAAGGAAAATATTTTAATGCTTTGTGTGTGTGTGTTTGGTGTGTGTGTTTGTTTGGTGTGTGTATGTGTGTTTGGTGTGTGTGTGTGTGTGTGTGTGTGTGTGTGTGTGTGTGTGTGTGTGTGTGTGTGTGTGTGTGTGTGTGTGTTTGGTGTGTGTGTGTGTGATGTGACTGTGAATTGTCACAATCACATCACGTATGTAACGTATTTATTTTTATGAAAGTTTAGCTTGTGTACTGTTATCGTTTCCTTCACATGTAATTAATGTTTCCAACTACATTAATACGTGTGTGTTGTGATTGTGACAATTCACAATCACACTCTAGTTTTCTTCATATGTATTAAAATTTCCGATTCAATAATTGGATACATTAATACATGTGAAGAAAACGATAACAGTACTTTACACGAGAAACATTTGCATAAAAGAAAATTATAGGTTACATATGCGATTGAATTAATAACGTACCGAATTGGGCGTCATCGGACATCGCCGTCTATAATTTTTGTATTATGAATATGTATTATGTTGATTAAATAAGAAAAAGTCCTCAACAAACATTCACCGTTTACCGAGAAGAGGGAACCCAAAATACGGGTGTGAGAACAGCGTTAAATTCCTCCCAACTTGTTGCATATCGCCGGCGCGGGCGGCGAAGCAGTCGCTCGAAAACTGACCTCAATTCCTTGTAAATACGGAACTTATTCAGGCCGCTAACTATGCACGCCGTAAAACACCACTAAGATATTACACTGGCGAATTCAGGAGCCGCCTCCGAAGTGTGCAAACTCGTGAAGCTGGCTAAGTCTCGCGCGTGGCCGGGTGTGTGGGAGCTCATTAACGCAACGCTAATTGCCCGCACTAATAGCGCTCGACTTGTCGACTTAGAAAATTCCTTGAACAGATTCTAAACGAAATAAAGACGCGTTTGTTTTGTAACGCTTTAGGTACGTTCGAGTACTCGTCCGTCGTACTCGTAATGTTTCGAAGAAATATAGGTAGAACAACGGGCGACATACATCACAAGTCCATAGAGTTCATGAGTCTAGATCAAGGTTCTGCTAATAGTCCGTAAAAGGAAGATGAGAAAATCAAAACACTATAAATTAGAAAGCGATGCTTGGCTTCATGTCACAGGCGTCACTGTTAGGACGAAAGCCGAGGAACTGAAGAGTGTTATTTATAGTAGAACACTAATGTTCGAAATCCGCAGTTACATGTGTGTAAAGATTACAGCGCAACCACTCGTAGGTAGGTATAAAGCAACATATGCCATCGATGTACGGCGCCGACTGACTGTCGCGACATTGACCGCAACTCGACGAATAATAAAATAAATCGACGGGCTGGCACCACGCCAGGCGCCCTTCACTCGCCTTTATTCCACGAACGAGGAGTGCTAATCCGCAACCATTGCCGCATTATACGAGCCGCGCGAAAGTGAAACTCCGCCCACGCAGCGATGAACAACGGCTCGCTGAAACGTCGGCTGAAGCGCTGCAACCCGATCGATGCACTATCGCTTTCACACTGCAGCCTAGACTCACCCTCGAGGATTTCGGGGTCGTGGACCCTGCTCGATTATTGCATGCGTGTGAGCTGTATGAAAATTTCCTTCCTTCGCATTAGCCGAAAGAAAATGAGCGCCATCAGCACAATGGCGAGGCTCATTAGCGCGGCCGATCAAGCGGAGCCAATCTCCATTTTCACGAAAACTCTACCATTCTCCGTTTCTCGGAAAACCCGTGTGAGTCACGCCGTTTGCTCTGTATCGCAGGTCACTACGATCGCGTATTTACATTCGTCGTCGGCTCGATTCAAAAACTCGATTACGTTGAATGATTCATAGACTTATGAATCAGCGCGCGACACTACAATTTTCACTTATGAATATCTTGCGCCTTCTCGGATCTACTGAAATTCAATGAGTTCCCGATTCGAAACAGGTGCATCGTGGTAAGTTAACATAAAAAAATATGGCAACAGAAACGTGTATTCGTCGTGCACCAAAGGCCAACAACTAGGAAGCAATGAGATAACAGGAAAAACTAATACATTGAATAGGAAATCTTGAGAATTTGAAATCGACAAATTTCTAATGGCAAAGGGGATGGGATTAACAATATAAGTTTATCGAATATACCAACGACGAATGAGATGATGTGTAAGAGCAACGCATGGCGCCGCCGGAGAGCGCCGGAAATCGTCCGGAAATGGCAAGCATTCCGCGCGCTCGCGCCGTCGCCGCCACACCGCAGACTTTACACAAAAAAAACAATGATACGCTTTTTGTAAAAAGTTCACTGGAGGCTTATAAAATAAATCATAGATTCGTTGCGAATACAAATTAAGTGGGTACGCATAATTCGAACGTGGATTCTGTTCACCTTGCGGTTTTCTAGCTAACCTTGAGGCGTGTTTTTCCCCCAAGTTAAACAAATTTAATGTAATACACATCGGGAATACAATGGATAAGTTTAAAAGTAATTATTTTTCTAACCGTTCGGTAAACACGGTTACCTATCTTTACGTGTTTGAAAACCTTGTTATTGGTTAGAGGCGATAAGGAGCGCGCAGCTGCACTGCATTAGAACAAAGAGTATAATAATAATTAACTCAGCGAAACAACGAAATTTAGCCACATTTAACTCACTTAACACCACACGGCCCATAAGGGCCGCGCGGGAAAAAACATTGCACGGTCAAACACCGCACGGCCCATATGGGCCGCGCTCCCCACGGGACTATAAGCCATTTTTTGTGAAGGTTAGAGGCTACTTTTGTATGAAGAAGTTTTACCATAGATTAACTTGGCGAAATGACCTATCTTTAGAGCCGTAAAGTTTTCACCTACTCTGTGTAGTTTTTTTTTTTTGCGTCGTTGAAAAAGTGGAATTTTTTTGGTCGAATTGAGGTTACGTGTATGTAATTTATCTTTTTTTTCATGGTAAATGCTTAATTTTATAGGGAAAGTGTTATAAAGTGTGTTGTTCTGCTTACAATATACCTTTATAGATAATTGGTTGTATAAAATACTTCGTAATAAAAATGATTTTCATGTTCAATACTGACAAAATTTCTTAGGTTGTTTCAAAGTTATTTGTGATGATTGAGTTTCGGTAATATAAATAAGTGTTTACAATAAGCAATTGAAACTCGTTTACAGTTAGTTTTTACATCGCTGATAACAAATTATTGTTAGAAACTCCTCATAAAGATAAGGGAATTTCTGTGTATAAAGATCAAAAATGGGGTATCGTCTGTCAATTCCTAGCAAGCCATTTTGACTCTTATATGTACGGCGTCACGGGCGTAACCTACTTGCAGTCGATTTGAACCTCTTTTCGTAGGCGTATTGATAGGTACGTATCGATAGTCACGAGATAAAAATAATGAATTGTCGATAGATCGACTAAAATTGTGGTGGTGGCATTGTAGGGCGAGTTTATGTTTAGCTAATTTATTGTTACTGTTTTAGAATGGTAGTTTTACATATAACAAAATAAAATAAATTCATGCAGTAAATATGGTGATAATGGCTAAGTAAATATAGTGGTTTTCTTTTTTTTGGATTTTATAGTATGTCTTCGTGGCGCTAAGACCAGGACCCAACCGCCGATTTTTTATTCCTGCTCTATAAAGATAAAGAGGGTGAGGAGCAGCAAATGAGTGATGCAGCAGAAGATACTTTCAATTTAGCAATATATTCAAAGTTCGTTTGAGTATTGTATCAATAAAAAGAACTCAAGAATGAGAGAACAAACTTTATTATTTCTATCTACGGTTTCGGGTTTATTACCAATAAAAAAAACCTAAAGTACGTGAAGTCAATTTTTTTCCACTGTGTATGGTAGTTTTATTTTTAGCTATATTTATCCATATCCTTGTTGATAATAGGAATAATTACACTGTAAATAAAAATCAATTAAAAACAGTACCAAATGTGTTTTTATTTATAAATAACAGAACAAATATCGATAAAACTATAAAAGTGAAGGCACGGCAAGATACATCCCTACTTTGTTTTTTGTTCGTTGGGTCGGGTCGGACTCTGGTTTCAAGTGCTGTTTTTGTTATCAACAATGGGGTCTTTCATTAGTTTGTTTACATAAGTGGGCAGTTTAGATATATGATTCTCGGCATCCGCCCGTTTTTTCGTTTATTTTACATCGTAAAGTGCGTAAAGTAGTGTAAACTTTGGGCATCTCAAAAAAATATAACGTATTGATAATTGCCATAATTTTTTTACCCGACTGAAAGAAAATTTATCAATTAGTAAATTCTCGTTCACGCAATGATAATTAATGATTTGGCTACAGCGTAATATATTTTTTTTTGTCGCGCGGAAGCCATTTTGATTGAAGCCGCCATTTCGTTTATAGATGACGTAATCAGCATATCTCAAATTTCACTTCCCGCGTTAAGACGTTTTGATTTTTCAAATACCGATTTTTCAGCGTTAGTGTGAAAGGCTATGCAGAAGAAGTGGATGAATTTACTTTTTAAAGGGAGGCTGTTCCAGAATCGTGAAGATTGAAGGGCAAAGGAATGAGACATATAGCCAGAGTGAAAGAGAGGTTGAGATAGAGCAATAGAATCAGTAGAACGAAGTTGAAGGTCGTACATAATGTCCAAACTTCACGCAATTTATTAAATGAGTCATCGAATCGAAATTTCTAAATATTGAAAATATAATAAAAATGAAGAGATTTGACTTAATATTTACAAATACATAGTATTTATAATTTTCAAATATTATTCACTTGTTAACGTATGTATTTGGAACATCAATTTATTTCCTTCCTTGGTTCGAATGTAACATGGTCGTAAATTCAACGTTTTATATTCGTAATGTTATTTTTTAAGTTGGCAATATCATCCCACTCAGTAATCGACATAACTTTAAATGCATTTAACACAGTCCAGAGCACAAAAGCTGCTCCAAATTATGAGGTTCAACCCAAACATTAAACGGAACATGACAAGCTATTGTAAGGAAAATTTAATGCTGTCAACGTTAAATTAGAGAGGAAACAAGGTAATAAATTTAAAGTACTACAAGGAAATCTAAACTGTCATAATTAATCAATTTACAAAATCGGAACAGAATGTACAAGACAAAGAGTTAGCACATGCAGAATCAAATAAACAGTAAAGGATCGAGTTACAACAATTGCTAACTTAAAAACTATCCGTTTACCTCGTTCTCGGAATATACACGTTTATAATAATAAGCAAACAGACTGACGGACAGACAAAGCCATTGTCTCGCGGCTGCTGTAAGGCGGCACTTATGCTAATTTCTTTTGAACGACCGACGCCATAACCGGCCAAATGCTATTACCTGCTATATTTCAATGTACACAAATATGAAGGCAATGAACCAACGCGATGTTAATAACGCGATATATGCATAATTCTATCCTAAAACGTCACCGAGCTACGTTTAATTGATTGCTATGTTTATCCAGTGTTGTCTGCGGTTAATCTGTTTGACTAGTTAGCACATGCAAATTTAAATAATTGCGTCTTTCATTATTATTATTCACTGAAATTGGATTAGATGAATTTCTTTACTTAACAGTTTTAACGATGTTAAGTTATTACTGGTGTCGATTCTGATATGATTCTCTAAACCTAAACTTAAATTTGACAATAGTGTATCCTTGTCATTCTTTATACAGAATGAAAAGGAGCAACCGATGTTAAATTTAGCTTTAAGTTTAGAGAATCATGTCAGAATTGCCACCATTGTCTCTATAGATTAACGGCGCGAATACAATTCTAATCTAGAACACTTCACAAGATTTAATTCGCATCTTGGTAAGAGTACCAATGTATTGCTCTAGTATAGAACGGTCTCGAATACTCTGAATTAACTTAAGACTAACAAAACAACATTGTAAGCAGATCTCGGCAATAAATTCTCGTTGGGGAGTGTTGAGTTGACGTACGCAGTGCGCGGGCGCAGTGGAAAGTGTTGGTTTATCAGCTGGGTGCGGAAGGCCAGCCCGACCCTGGCACCGCCTCGCACCACAGATAAACCCAGCTTGACAACCGGGTTTCACATGCCCATTGCCCAAGGGTATGACCGAAGGTTAAAATATCTGACGATCTCTACAGGCCGCTGAAAGCTGGGTAGGTACTGTAAATGTATGTTAATTAATTAACACAGACCTTGTTTATTTGATTATTTAGAGGTCTTTGTGTTCGCTCGTTTTTTCAAATAAAGTCCCAAGCATTATAAAAAGTTAACTCTAGTTAATTTATATTAACCATTAAATCTACACTTCTTCAGACAGTTACAATATTGAATACATATTTGGAAATGGATTTATTAATAATTGATACGTAAGGTATCATCGTAAACTGTAACAAATATTTTTCTAAATGTTTTTACTAAACAAAGTCTGTTTAGTGTTGTTGAGTTTTTAATGCCCGTTTTTTCTCCACAACTACAAAATGTCCTTAACGGCTGCCTTGGAAAAAAAATACTATTCAAAACAGTTCTAGGAAGCTTTCTATTTGAAAGAAAATTAGACTTCTTTTAAATATTTAGAGATGTGATTATTATATTTGAAATGGCCATTACAAATTGTTTACTGTTCATTTAAATTTGTCACACACAAACACTTTCTGAAGTCATAAAACTCATCAAATTATTTATTTTTATACTTTTAATCACATAAAGCACAGCATTGTAAGCAAGAAAGCAAACATTCTAAGATAATACTGGCATTTTAGCAGCTGCATACTGGTTACGTGTTTTACAACATCTGTATTATTTGAGGTCATTGCAACTATATATTTCATAACATTTACAGACTTGTTTACATACAGCATATTTAAAATTGTACGAATCATTGCGCAATTAATAAATAGTTTGCATTACACATATAGTATATTAACTGCAATCTCAATTCTACTCCTGTATAACCACATAATTCAATACTGAGAGATGGCATACAGAAATACGTCAGGGAATTAGAAATTTCAAAATTTATGACCACGTCGTCTTAGAGTACTGTATTAAAGAAAAGTAAAATAGGAAAAATATTAAGGAGTATTACAGAATCGTTAACATCGTCCCGAAGATAAGGACAAATTACTATAGCGTATTGTGGTATTGGTTAAGATTAAGACATGCGGCCGGTGTTATCGGTAGTGCCTAGATAGCGGCCATCCGAATTGTCTGGCTCCCCATCGACACCGAGCACCGAGCCCGCCCGTTATCAGGTTACCGAGAAATCGTACGCAAACACTTGCACTTATCGCGAATACCTATTTCACAATCTCCGTTCCAAAGAATTTCCAACATGCCTGGAATAAACTGGCCATTATTACAACAGATAATACTGTTCAAATATGGAAAAGAAACACGCTTCCTTTACAGTAGAACAGGCATATTTAAATAAGATTTTAATGAGAATATAGACAACAATTATGGTAATGTATTTTATAGTAATGTAGACAATGTTACAGCAATAGATAAAGTAATTGTAAACATAAAGCATAGTAGAGAGTAATATGAATCCGAACGCTGGATCGTGTCCAAGAATTCGTATTCAACAATTTGTAGAGAGAGACAACGTAATATTCCTGCATAATTAAATTTTACACGTTTCATTCGTAACTGATTAGAGTAAAACTTTTGTGTGCTTACTGTCTGTGGTTTTGTGTCGATAAGGTTTCCGACTATTTTGGATAAATACATTGGGTTTGGATTCAGGGTAGACAACGTAGGAATAATTTGGGATACTCCGACATCATAAGCGGCTAAGTATATGCTTCTTGGCTCCCTTATGACATAAAACAAAACGAAGCAAAAATAACTGTTTCCATCCACTACTTGAGATAAGCATGAGTGCACCTTAGATAGGTGCCTTTATTCTTTCAAATTTAATTTCCCAGTAGCATTAATTTTTAATGTCAATTTGGAAGCATTAAAGATGTTTCTTCGAGTAACATACCCAAGTTGGTTTACATAGGAGCGAAGATAACCCTCTTTTACGATTCTCATCAAGCGACGAGACGCATTTTAACGACACACGAGGAATAATAAGCCCGCATAAAATACAATTATTCCTTTTTATACATAAAATTGTAGGGGAATAATGACCCGGCCTGTATGCCTTGCATTTTGAACAAACATGGTTATTGTCTGAAAATAAAATAGAACAGTGAAGTTACAACAAAGAACAGTGTTTAAAAGTGAAATTAAGTACTAAAATATGGACCTATTAGCACATCCCTGTGGCACTCCCAATTCTTAATAATACTTAAAGTGGAGAGTTATTATATTTTTTTTGTTATTTTGGTATTGTGAATTATCGCCGTTTCATACACAAAAAGCGTAAATAAACCGGTGGAGTCACATTATATGCGTAGTCTGTTATCGCATATTAAATGCTTTTCGATAATAATCTCCAGGTATTGGATCTGTTTTGAATTGTTTCCTAACATTTTGTTAGATTAATCAGTCAGACTTCGGGTTTTACTATGGAATTCGTTATTAATTACATTGTATTCTGTATTACTGTAAAATGCGAGTTTATTTATATCATTGTGATCACCTTGGTCAAAAGATAGTCACAGGTACTATAATATATTTATCATGTGTATTTGTATTGTGATATCCGGAATTTAAAGTCCTTCTAGTTATCGTCATGTTGTTCGTTTACATGAGGTACCTACCTACACACAATGTTTATGTGTAAAGAAATATCCTACTAAGTACATGTCCATTGTTTACGACACTGTTTGAGCCGGCTGCCTCTATCATATCATCAAGGACATCAATCTTTTAACAGTATACATACGTTCATGAAGAAAATTTAAAACGTTAATGATAATAAATTCAACTTACAAAATTCAATAATTACAGACTTTTAAACAGCTATTTATATAACAAGTAGACAACGAGTAATACAATTACATATTTTGCATCACGCTTTATTATGAATCCCTGATATGTATGAAACACCTTCGAACAAGTATCTTTAGTTTGATTGAATCAATAGATTTGATCAAAGAGTTTCCTTTTGCCATATTATTAAGAAAAACACCGGGTCTTCATGTAATAAATAAAAATTATGGAGAGAATTAAACTTTTGCGTTTGACTAGTCCTCAGTGGGACAATTAGGTGTCAGTCGGAGACCACAGTGGGGACAATGGCGATGCAAATAATCTCGATTATGGCAAGGTTGACGGCGGGCGGCGGAGGGTTCGTTCAACTGACCGCGAGCGATGACACGGGGCGAGCGCGACGTCGGTCGCGGCGCACGCGCCGGTGCCCGCCTACCCGCGGCCTCCGCCATGCCGCGCCACTACCACCGGATCATCTCCGATCACACAACATCCGACACCGATAAACGCCGACGATAACCAGACATGTCAGCGAACAACACGACATGGGGAGTGCAGCGCAAAAACAACTGATGCAACCACTTTAAAAATTAAACCAGCACCGTTTTCATATAAATATGTTAGTGGAAAGTTTGATTACAATGTACTTAGGTGTTGTAAAAAGTGTGGTAAGTACGTAATTTTGCTACTATGAAATACATATTAATAATCTTCCAAACACACAAAAGATTTAATCTGGCGACTTACCAAATTCTGCACAGGCGAATGTGGGAAAGGCAATCCAAATAGCACACAACACTTCACAATGCAACCGAGAGAATTGCAATTACGAATAAGAACAAAAACTTGTCTAAACTTGACAAAACGAGCGCGGAGCACGCGCGCGCTCTACAAAAACAACCGGCACAGATGTCGATCGACGTCGGAAAACCCCCTCGGAAACTACGCGACGTAGAGGACACGGCGTGTAAATATTATTGCATCGGACTGGACAAAGGTTTTTGTTATCTAAACCGGTGTCAGCGAGCGAGCACGGAGCGAGCGCGCGGCCAGCGGTGTTCGGTGGAGTGAGGCTCGCGCGCCGGCCCCGCCGCCGTGTGATAAGCCTGGCGCGACGCCCCCCGGCGACGCCTACGCCCCACTCGACGCCGCCGCATCGGTGCATCGTACACACCACCACGCCGCCAGCGCCAGCCGGCCGCCCCTCGGTGCCTCGGCCGTCCGGCTGGCACCCGACGACCCGCCTGCCACCGCCGCCGCGCCAGACGGGCCCCCGCGCATTATGCACTGCACCTACGCGCTATTTCACAACCGCATCACGGTACCACGGCGTGTCGCACAAAATCGACAACTTTCGACTCCTTAAAAAGACGAGGAAACCGCTGCCGTTGCGAAACTAAAGCGGCTGCCAGCCCAGATACCGGCGAGAACAATGAGCCGCAAACAAACGCAGAACCTTTTTAGTGTCCTCCTAATTGGGCTAGAAGTGCGTCGGTCGAGCAGAAATACAATATGCAACGCGATCCGCTCACTACATAAACGGAATAATTGAATTAGTGCGGGCATGTTAAGCACTGGTATGTGCCGGAACCGGCCACCTATGCGGTTGTATCAAAATTACACCGACCCATCAGCTTCTATCCTGTCTTTGAAGTCTTCGACCAAAAACCACAAATAGATTTTGCAGAATATCTTAAGATCAGTACAACGTTATTGCTCATAAACTCTTTGATTTAACTATCGACTCACAGAACCATTAACCACAACAAAAGCAAAGTGAGATTATTTTTTTAAATCAACAAATACATAGTTACATATACATATTAGATAAAAGAGTTTAGGAAACTTTACTAACAGCAAAGCACTATACGATACAATCGCATCTAGTAAGCCGCGAATGGGGAAGAATAGACAAAGATGGATTGAGGAAAACACGATAGTGGTCAACTGTCGGTATGCTAGTGCGTGAAGAAAATACGCAAACATGTTTACAAGTTTCACAAGGACCCAAAACTTTCAAAATATTTCTTAGCATTTATCAAGGCTGCGATGACATTCACGAAATTTGATCACCCTTAATTTCTACCGACGGAGTTCAACGTTCGACATATACCTTGTGTGGCGTGACACCATAAACAGCTTGCGAAATGGAAAGATGGTTTGAAAGAACTAGTGAATAAAATGATAACATCACAATATTTAACAGAGCCTTTGCAAGTAAGTAATGAACCCGAAAATAAGAAACACGAGTTGTGTTGTGACCTTTTGCACATGTACCAGTACACATTATGAACTGCGTAGGTGTGGCTAAATACAAAATTGTTTTCGAAGAATTGCGGTCGGCAAGCAGTCGTTCGAAACCCATTAATTCATTTGTTTACGGAGTCCGTATCAAAGTTCATCTTGATAATTTTGGTGAAAAGGACGAGAAAAAATCGTCGACAATCTTACCAAAATTACAAATAATTTATGCAAAACTTGTTTTGTTTTTCGTATTAAGTAGTAGGTATTAAAGATAATAATAGAAGCGAAGTAAAAAGGACAAATGCCAATTTCCAACATTCAGGATTATAAAATTTAAGTTAATGTAAACCATAAAGAATTGAACTGGAAATTGAACAAAATGTCGTAAAGTTAAATTATTGCGCGTCAATATAAATTCCTTAACCTAAAGCTGTGCGAGGTATCAAAAAATGATTTAAATAACATTGACGGTGGACGCAGCCCGAGCCGTAAACATTTACGAGTGCATTACACTCGGTCGACTGGCATACCCGTGCAAATTTAATTATCCCCACATGCAATTTACATCATTGGAATTAAATCACTTTTTTCGACAAAAAATTAAATCATCGTAATATGTATTTTGATTTGGAATATCTTGGACTCATCAAGCGTAAAATGGGTGTGGATAAATATCAAAACGTACCTTACAAAAGATTATAAAAAAGTCCCAAGAAAAAAGGAGCTCCCATTCCTATTGTTGAATAAAATCAATGTCATTTAACTCATTTGTCAGCCGAGGAATCTGTAGAGGTTTGTAAGGCCCACGTAAGTTACGAGATTAATCTTCCCAAATAATTTGACCTTTTCATCTGACGAGGGTTCATTAAATAATGGCGTTGGTATCGGTCGGCAGTCGGCAGTGCAGTTATTGTGCCGTCGATCACGCGTTCCGTTGTAGGCGGGACTGGGAGCGCGCCACATTATTATATCGAACAGGAATTCCCAAATAGATTGACACGATATAATAATAAATGTATGAAAACCTTATAACTCCATAAGGTTCAGTCACGGTTCCGTCAAGAATTATGCAACGATTCACATAAATCCGTAAAAAAAAACAAAAATAAGTATGATCTCAACCAACATATTTAAATACATAATGCACTGTGCAGGAGCATACGCATTCCATAATAATGCCTTTGTGTCGCAATATTGATGGATCGATTATGATATGATAATACATAATTAAAACAAAACGCCAAAGGAGTCAATTACCAACCTTAAGACCTGACCGTGCGATATTATGTAAATCGAACGTAAATATAGGTCTCACTCGATATACCAACAATGATACGATGCACGTGCGTTTGTAGTGCAACTGTAAGCGCATGACATCTTTTAATAAGGCAGGCGAGGCGGAAACGTGGAAAATGTCAGTAATCTACAGGGCAGTAAGCACGATTCTTGCCCATAATCGGAACAAGGACTCCGCAGCTGTGGTAAATATCAGCTCCGCGCTTATTATTGTGACGTAATTATTACTGCAAGTCGGAACAAAGAAAATTAACTTCGCCAATACGCGAAGAATCCTTTGTTTAGACAACTTTATACAATAATGCCTTTACGCAAATTTGCAAGTAACGCCCTCTAATATGTATCCTTATCTATCCTGTAATCGAGGGATCGGACTATATAAACGGTGCGTCCGCCGAAATGCCGCGCGAGGCGATCCCATGAGTCACTCTGTTCTCAAGACTTGACCACCTGGGATTATATTTTTCCTTTAAATAACGGAGTTCCCGGACCTTCGTAAGCGAAAGTCGACCGCAGAGAGCATTCCGTTCAAATCATAGATCGTAAAGTTTTATTTGCGGCAACTTTGGTCACAAGTGCTGTTATTTTTTTTTTCAGTATTTATTGCTTCTTACTCTCCGGTTTTGTTTGTGCTTTATGTCAATAGATATTTCGAAGAACAAACGGTTCACAGTAAAACGTCAACAAAGGCTTATTTAGGATTTTTGAAAAAAAAGCATTTCTATACTTTTGCGGCGGATGGTCAAAGCAGGCAAATTTTGTCCTATATGCCGTTATAATTGTTTGTTATCTCATTAACTCATTCATCATGATTTAACTTAAATGAATAAGGTTCAACAATTAGTATTTTAGGCTTTGTATGTATGTATCCAACAATAATATCTAATACAGCATTAAAGGGCACATCGTCATTTTAGACCAAGAGTTACAATTTCAAATTGCTAAAAGAACACGTTACAACCCAATTCACCCCAAATTCTTTATCAAGAAAGTAGACAATTGCAAGATGCCACTTTAAAGTAAAGAATTTTGAAATGCATTTAAACTTTAATCTTTAAAGTAGTCATTACCACTATTCACTGCTCTTTTGTTATCAACTTTGAAGTTAAAACACAATAAATGTTTCGACAGGTCGACAAAGACAATACCAAGTATTATATGTAATGGGCCAAAATGGAAAACGGATAACAGTCGGTTATCCGGGAGGCAGGTAATAAAGAAGTCACTGCTGCTTTTATTGAGTCTTTTGTGCAACTACATAAAAGCTTTTGAGACGAACTAGCGCGGTGTGGGGGCAACTACTTCACTTTAAGTGGATATGCCTTGTTAGATTGATATTGTAATTTATTTATTATGTATTGTATCATCAGAATATATTTAAACGATCATCAATAAAAGGGTTTATAATTGATTTTTAAAAACAAAACAATTGGTAACCTAACCTTTAGGTTACGAATTGTATTTTTAATATTATTCACTTTATACTTAATTACGAATGCGCTGTGGGCAATGTGTTTAAGAGAATCCATGAAGCGAATATAGCGTCGACTTTTCCTTGTCTTATTTATCTTTCAGGTGACGGTGGTGAAGTTTAGGTCACAACACTAACTTAACCTAACCCACTGTGAGTTGGTCAAACGTTCATTGGTCTGTAATTAACTCGGTAAGAATTACAAAATCCGTCCGTCATTTTACTCATATATGTAACTGGTTGTTAGGCTATGTATTAGGTTTAGTTAGGATAAATACATTCCCGGTGGACCAGCATGTACTCTATACAATCCCTAGGAATAGTATATAAAATGAAAAATAATATTTATAACATTCCATACATTGCCTAGACGCCCCAGGTATTATATACATTTCCTAGGTATTGTATAGAATACCTGCATTATACAGATTGCCGGTGACATATACAAGGAGTAAGTCCATTTTCATTTCATTGGGTAAATTCGCGATTTTTTAAGTACCTATAAATTTAAACAGCACAGTAGTAGCGGTCTCAAACGTGCTTCGAATATGACGTCAGACACTACCACAGGTGCGTGGGACATTATTTTACCCACACGGCAAGTATGAAAACCACCAGGCATTCTTGGAAGCGATGAGGAAAGGCACAATCTTATTGACCAAATGAGAAGCTTTCATCATATGATAATGTTCAACAATGTACTAACAAAATTGTTAACTGTTTGATGATTCAATAATACTACTACTATAAGATGATTCAATTTGTACTAAGAAGTTATCAATGGATGGCAAAGCATATGGCACTGGATGGTATAGCAATCCATTAGCCGCACACAATAAAGTCGCATGTAAGTACAAAATGTTTACTTCCGATGGTGAGCGATGATTCACCACCACGTTCTAAGAATTCTGCATCGAGATTACCTAATCGCCGTGTGGAGTATGGCAGTCGCAGAACAGGTTTTAGCGTCGCGTCGTCAGCTACATGAGAAATAGATTATAATACGGTCTCACAGTTGGATTCGGGTCAAAATAGCAAAGTCACGGCGTCTTCGGATACAATATCTACTAACTAATCGATTGCACGTCAACTATTAGGCTAAATTGTCAACATCCGGTGCGTTAGTTGGAGCTATTAGGTGTCGCTCAATCGAATACATCTGCTGGGGTGTACGAGGTCAATTATTACTTAACAGTTTCAAGTGAGAGACTACAATTGCCGTTTTTTGTACAATTGTAACTAACATTGTAAATTTGTGCTGATGGAATGGTGGTTCACATAAGTCATATAATAAAACTGCTGCAAAGTTGATCTCATTTATTTGGGTTACGAGTGATTCCCCACGTTTTCGTTTC